TTTTGCTCTGAGCAGTGAGATTAAATGTTACGTTTGTGCTGCTGTTTAAAAAGGTCGACTAACCTGATACAAACCATTAATCGAACATGGGCGCCTTGGGAATCTGAAGCACAGGAATACATTATGCAATGCAGCTTCATACTGACCTTTTACAACTTGTAGCTCAATTGTGAATGTAACTTAAACTTTTGCTTTTCCCATTACTGTCTATTCTTTTATATGCATCAATTTTTCTACTGTTGAGTCCAAAAATCAGTTCTTGTAGCAGTAAAACATGCCATCTTCAAAAAATTTAATCCAAGAAAATTTGCATGTGAATAATAATGATGCTCACCAATGCATGTAGAAATTTGGTTGTACTTGAATTATGGTCCACGGTGTCAAGTTTGTAAATCTGTCTGCATCTTTGTATTGCATCAGACTAAATTATTATTTGCATAGACTGTCTTGCGCATTGTTTTTGGATTGTGTAGTGATTATATGTGGTTGTGCCATTCATTGAGATCATGGTTAATTGGATAATCCTCAATTCCACTGGAACACAGTAACTGTAGTAGCCCAAGCCAAACATAGGCATGCACGGGAATTCCTAGGGCATGGTTCTCCACCCATACTTCAATCAACAAACATATAGAATTGGACCTCGTGTAAACCCATTCAGATCAAAACCAGAAATGAAAGTACTCGCCATAACGACCGGATAGGATAAATTCTAAGCGGAGTAGAATAATATCGCTTGATCAGAGGCTCCACTGATGATGTCACCTATCATGGTGACAAAACATCTGAACAAAAACAAGCCAGCTCGGCGAGCAAGTTAACAACCTTAGCCACAACCCGAGCTACAGATCTTTGCCCATTCTAATCCCATTTTACAACATCTGAACCATAGCCTATAGGTTGCGTTGTTTCAGACATAGATCCAAGTTACTTTTAAATGAATTCAGGGTTTCTGCCTCAACCATCAAACCAGACATTCCAGAGGCTGACATTCCAGAGGCCCACCACCCTCCGAGTGAAACATTTTTTCTTCATGTCTCATCTAATCCTATCAATCATCTCAAATCTGTGGCCTGTGGCAATTGGTCTTTTGACTAGAGAAAACCAGTCTTTCCTATATGCTCTAATCCAAACTCTTCATTATTTTGGACACCTCCAGTGAGTAACCTCTCAGCCTTGTCTGTTTTAAGGACGACATCATGGCCTTTCCAGTTTTTCTCATAGTTGCAGTTTTCACGCCCTGGCAATGTTCTTGTGAGTCTCTTATTTTCTGAAGAACAATTATGTCCTGCCTGTAATGTAGTGACTAGAATTGTACGTAAGACTCCAGGTGTGACCTAACCAATGTTTTGTATAGTTTCAGCAATACATCCCCATTTTTGTATTCAATATCTTGACCAGTGAAGGACAGTGTCCACATGCGTTATTTACCGCTTACCTGCCCATCCTGCCACCTTCATGGGACTTATTGACATGTACTCGAAGGTGTCTCACTTCCTCGACCTTGCTAAATATCCTCCTGTTTATGTTTCACTTGGTTTGTTTACCTTTCCCAAAAGAACAATATCTGTCAACCATGACCCTTTGTTTCTTATCACCTGAGCAAATTTTGCATTCAATATGCCACATTTCCTTGTGTCTTCTGGGCTTTAATTTTCCTGACCAGTCTGTCATAGGGAACCTTGTCAAATGCCTTAGTAAAATTCATGTAAATTACATTTACTGTATCACCCTTATCAGTCCGCCTTGTTATTTCCTTAGAACATTCAATGAAGTTAGTAAGACGTGACCTTCCCTTAACGAAATCACGCGGAGTATTCCTGATTAATCTGTGCCTTTCTAAATCACAGTTAATCACAATCTCTCAGTATTGATTCTTGCAATTTGCCTGTGGTCAGATGGACTAACGCACAATCATTTGGCCTACCCCCAGAATATATTTTGAATAATAGTACAAAATTTGCGTACTTCCTATCCCAGAGATCTTCACTGTATCTAGTGAAGATTGGAAAATGATCTTTGGAATATCCACCATTTCCTTGCTGGTTTCTGTTTAACAGCCTGGGATACAATTCCTCCAGCCCTGGAGGTTAGTCCCTCCAGTGCTTCCCTTCTCATTTTGATTACTTTATCTAATATTTCACACTCTTGAACTAGATTGTCCTTTCCAAGGTGAGGGATGATGCAGATAAAGTACCTACTAAAAATCTTGCCCACATTTTATGCCTCCACACACAAATTGTACACCTCTGATCTGCCCTACCCTTAATGTAACTGGAAGACCTTGACAATATCTAGGATTCGCTGACAAGTGGCAAGCCACATTCGTGCCACACAAATGTCATGCAATGACAGTCTCCAATAAAAGAAGATCTAACCATCGCACTTGATGTTCAATAACCTAACTGTCACTGAATCTCCCACTGTCAACATCCTGGTGGTTACCATTGACCAGGTGCTGAATTGGATGAGTCATATGAATATTGGGGCTGCAAGAGCAAGCCAGGGGCTGGCAATCCTGCAGTGAGTAACACACTGCCTGACTCCCTAGATCCTGTCCAGTATCTACAAGGCACAAGTCAGAAGTGTAATGGAATTGTCCCCACTTGGACGAGAGCAGCTGCAACAACATTTAAGAAGCTAGACAACATTCAGGATCGAGTAGCCTGCCTGATCGACACCACATCTACTCCCTGCACCACTGATGCTCAGTAGCAGCAGTGAGTACTAATACAAGATGCACTGTAGAAATTTACCAAGAGATCCTTATATAGCACCTTCTAAACTCGTTACCACTACCGTATGGAAGGGCAAGGACAGAAGATCCATAGGAGCACCGCCACCTACAAGTTGCGCTCCAAACCAATGGTGACTTCGAACTGTATCACCTTTCTTCCATTGTTACTGTGTCAAATGCAGAGGTCATATGACACCAGGTTATAGTCCAGCAGATTTATTTGAAATCATAGTTTTTGGACTGCTGCCTCTTTGTCAGGTGACAGTTCAGCTGACAAGGGAGCAGCGCTCTGAAACCTTATAATTTCAAATAAACCAGTTGGATTATAACCTGGTGTCATGTGACTTCTGACTTCATCCATCCCAGTCCAACACCAGCACCTCCACATCATGGCTACCATTGAATCAAATACTGGTATGTCATCCTAATGGCATCCTGAGTCTGCTTGCAGCAAATGGACTGCAGGATCAGAACTTTTATGATATTGTCATCAGCTGCAAATTTCTCCTTTAGCTTAACCCTCTGCTTCTGGATAACCAAGGAGCTCTAGAATTCTTGATAATTAATATTACAAGCTATGTAATAATTGGCTTTTTGCTTTGTGGGAACTATAGTATCTCCATAGTAGATTATAATAAAGGCTTATATCTGTATTCTGCTAACTCTGGTAAACATATCAGAAATGGAACATGATAAAGAGAATATACATGTATAATTAAAAAGTATTTAAGGATGAGTATATTATAGTTTGGTCATAGAAATTATTCTGAAATAATTGACAGTAAGCATATTATCTGTGACACGGTGCCAGGCATCATTTGTAAAGTGGGTAGAAGCAGAAGTTGTTTACAAATAGGCAATTGAAATTCACTTAGCTAGCCCACATTGACCATAGGGTATGACAATCCTGCTGCCATTCTTAACTGATCTCGCGCTCTGTAAAAGAGGCATAGTAATAACATTTCTTCAACTGAAGTGTTTAACCAGTAATTAGGGGTGTAATGTTTGAATTTATGTGATTGATCATGTTGTCTGTGACTGTTTTACTCTGAAAAGGGCAGTCAAGGGTTTATGCATAGTATTAATCAACTTGGAATCGGAATATCCGGTATCGTCCCTTTATCAGGCCATGTTGAGCAGCACTAGAATGTTTAACCTTTATTGTTATTGACAGAAGCGTGCTGGAAATTACATGTGTGTGCATAGCTAATAAGGGCAAGGCTTGCTGACCTTGGTGAAGGGACTTCTTTACGCACTGTTTCATTGTTTATATAAGATTAATCATGCCCACAACAGGAGTAAATTATGTTTTTATCACACCTTTGTTTGACATGTAGAACCACACCTAATCCAAAAGTGTGTGGTGCAGGATGGTGTGGGGTGTGCAGGTGAATTTGCTTAAATTATTTTTTCCACAGAATATATGATTCCCTTGGATTAAGTGTATCTTGATTTAAAAGTTTGCGGTGGGTGCATATCTTGGGCTCTTTCAGAAATTGAACCATGCGACTTTACCTTTTTTTTGTAATTTGCAAAAAGTCTTGATATATCACAGTCTGATGAAGAGTCTTGGCTGGGTTGGTAAACTAACAAGCATGTAAACATATTGGATGCAGGAGATGGGAAAGTGCGTGCATGAAGCTGGCAGAATGACAGGAAAGAGAGCATGCATTTGGAGGAGGGAAGTGTGGGCCAGTCTCTGTACCCCTTTTTTTTGTTCTTGCGCACAGCTGACTAAATTAAATGTGAAGGCTTTCATTTTTTTGTACATTTGCAGACACAGTAATGCAACAGGGCTGATTTATGCTTTGCATGCATCAAGCATTTGGGTTGCTGTGCAGTTTAGCGGGGGGGTGGTGGTGGCGATATTGGTGCCTGTACAAAATCCATTTAGCTAGATTAAATCTTCAAACAGGTTGTAGGTGGATGATTGGTGAGGGGATTAATAAAATAAAGGAATGCTTGCTTGAGGAAGGGTTGGTGGTGTGAGGAGAAAGGAGAGAGGAAAGGAAAATACCAAAGAATTCAAAGAATGTGAAAATACAGAAATCCTGAACCATCTTCAATTCATGTGGCAATAAATGGCGTTTTGTAAGTAGCTCACGAATCTTAGGAGCAAGTTAATAACCTATTAAAACACGTTAAAAATCTCATGTTTTCCATATTTCTTCGCATTACGGTGCAGCCATTTACTTGAATAGTGCAAAATTTGATTTTTGTGACACATTTGTGTATTGTTACTGATTTGTGCTTTTGTTTGCAGTATACAACATGTATATGGAGCTCAACATCCACCATATGATCCTCTGTTACATGCAAAGTAAGTGTGAAAATTATTCCATTGGTATAACTCAAGGTATTTTGAGTTCATCAAGATCAGAGTATTATTGCTGGGGAATACATTTCTAAGCATTTGGTGCTGACTTTGGGATCTGCTCAGCTAGATTGATTGATTTTGAAGGAGAGTAAATTTTGTCAGCAAGTTCCTCTTTGATCTTAGAGGCACCTGAGAATTGTTTCTGAATGTTTCACAGTGTTTCTGACAGATAGGCTTTGGATGACAAATGGATATATAAGCAACTGAAGGAGGCTATAAGGATTTTTGAACAAGGGGAATGTCGTTGTGAATAGACTGGACTTCAGCCATGATTGGTCAGTTCAGTATGGAGAAACTGAAGTGTCGCTTACATTTTTATTTTGTCAAAACTGAAAAGTGTGAACATAAGTTGATTGCTAAATTAAGCATAGGTATAATTTATTAAATATTGTAATTGTCTGTCTTTTTGTGGCGATACAGTAAATATTGGCTGGCTGTGGGAAGCGTTAAGATTGGACCAACAGGAAGCATTGATCATATTTGAAATCTGTTCATTAATGTGTATTTTAAGTGAATAACATTCAATACAGCCACACTTAACCCAACTATGGTGAAGCTTTTTGTATTGTTTTGTGACTTCTGTATTTTCCACACAATTCTTCATCTTTTCAAAGTAAGACAACTAAAAATCATGGAACAAGAAAATATAATTTGGCTGAGGATTTCTAGTTTTTCTTAGCACCTTATCGCTTCCATTGCTGCGAATTTTCTGCAGAGTTTCTTCCCAGGACTCAAAGGGGCCTGAAGAAACTGGTAGAATACATGTAATCTTTTGATTTAAAAACTCCACTCACTTCATTCAACCACCAGCATTTTAATTGTCCAATCTTGGACAAAACTTTCATTGTGGTCACAGTGAAGAGGCATCATGTTTTAACCTGCCTTTGCAAATGTTTAATTACACGTATCTGACTTTCAAGTTAGAAAACAAATCCCTATTCAACATTCATTATACGTTGTGAGTAAGTTCTACATATAACCTGGAGGGTAAGAGAATTATTTTCCAAGCTTGGGATAAATTGAGTTCAGGGCTTTTGGTTTATCTTATCGTTAAAATGCTTCTCAGTACATTGATCCGTTTGAAGGGCTGGGTGTGTGGAATCTAGATCATTGGCGATGGTATCAGCAATGAGCTAATAGGCTGATCAAATCAAGTTTCAACTTGCAGCAAATGCTGTTAAAGTGCATTCAATATTTGACTCACTGTTGAAATTTGTTCCAATCATTGGTTGGCACCAGAAGGCTATTATTTTCACCTTTTGCAAGGTCTGTATTTGCACATTTTGGTTTTATAATACTTTGTGCTTTATGACAATACCCAGCTGGGTGAACAAAATGTTAAGAGAGCTGAGAATTACACTGGAATTTTAAAATTGATCCTGGTCTATCTGAGATACCAGAAAGTTGACTTTGTATGCAAGTATAATTTGAGAAATTTTGACCATTGATGGGTAAATCATGTTGAAGGACAGTTTTAAATGATAAATAAGATTCTGACAACTCTGATCAAAAATAACAATACATTTCAATAATATTCAATAACTCACTAAGTATTTCTCCAGTGTTGATCTGGAGTTAGAAAAAGGAACTGGAAATCCAAAACATAACAGAGTAACCAAAGGCTATTAATCTTATTGTTATCTGAAGACATACTAAATATTAATGAGAAACATTGATGCAGTATTAATTCTTTGGCCAACAGCTTACTCAAAGCAAATTCAAAGCCGCAATCTCTATCAATGAGGACAAAGAAAATTACGACTTTCCAAGAGTTTGAGAGTAATACAAGCGACGCCTGGGATGTTGGTGATGATGATGATGAACTCTTAGCAATGGCTGCTCAGAATCTGAACACAGATGTTGTGATGGAAACAGCAAATAAAGTACTTCAGATTCACAGTAAACTGCAAGAACAGAAGCAGCAGGACAAGCAAATAGAGACATTACCTGCTCAATTAGACCATTTGGAACAAGCAGACAATAAAACTGACATTGTAAAACCTACCAGTGCAGTTGAACTTAATATATCAGGTAATTTGAGCTATAAAATCCTATTTTATTTATGTTGACACTTCTCTGCTACTTTGGCATTCAGATTGAAACTCTCCAGGACTGAGCAGGGTGTTGTTCTTCCTCTTGACCTTGTGGAAAAATGCTGAATTGAAGAATTTTGGGTGCAGCAATGTTTTTTTTATATAAAAAAAATCTCTTTTACATTCGTATTAACATTTGGCTGAAATACTGTAATTGGCAGAAATTCAGTAGCGCACAAATTGTGTGACCGTCCAGCCAGTTGCTAATCTGGTGAAATTCTTTTGATTTGTGTGATTTAGTAATTGAACTGAATGTTTTATAATTGATAAAGTTCCATTCTAGTTCATTTGCTGATGGTAAGTCTTGTTTGCAAGATTGTGGATTTGATTCCTAATTAGGCTTGCTTTTACTTGGATATAAAATAATTTATGGGAATTTAGGAACAGAGGAGTTTGGAGCAGGAGTCGGCCACTTGGCATTTGTTATGCCATCCAATAAGATCATGGTTCAGTTGGTTACACCAAATTCTACTTCCCCAATAACCTTTTACTCCTTTGCTTGACAAGAATCTACCTCTGTCTGCCTTGAAAATATTTGAGGGAAAGAGTTCCAAAGACACTTCATCTTTGACGAAGAATGTATTTCTCCTCCTCTGTCTTAAATAGGTAACATCTTTTTTAAAGCAGTGAGCCCATATTTCTAGATTCTCCCCATAAGAGAATCCCACATCCTTTGCATATGTGTCTTGTCAATCTTGTCAAAGTGCCAAGGTCTTATGTTTCAATTAAGTCACTTACTCTTTTAAACTCCAGTGAATACATGCTTAACCTGTCCAAACTTTCCTCCTAAGAAAGTCTACCCATTCCAAGTACTGGCCTAAGAAACCTTCTCTGAATTGCTTACAATATAATTACAGCTTTTTCGTAAAGAAGGAGACCAATAGTGTACAACGTATTCCAGATGTAGTCACACCAACATCTTGTATAACTGAACTATAACCTCCTACTTTTGCGTTTAATTCCCTTCACAGTAAACGACATTGTTAGCTTTCCTAATTACCTGCTGAACACACTTACCTTCTGCAGTGCATGCACTAAATACCCAAATCCTTCTGCATCTCAGAGCTCTATCATCTCATCATTTAGATAAAATGCTTCTTTTTGTTCTTAATGCTAAAATAGGTAGTTTTATATTTTCACGTGATATTCCATTTGCCATATCTTTGCCCATTCACTTAACCTGTCTCTATCCCTTTTCTAGCTTCCTTATGTGCTCTTTATAACTTACTTTCTACCAATTGTTGTGTTGTCAATAAACATAACAACCCTACCTTCAGTCCCCTCATCCAAGTTATTTATGTAAGTTGTGAAACTTCGAGGTCGTGCCACTACTTGTTAAAGCCACTACTTGTTAAAGCCACTACTTGTTAA